TGGCTGCAAATTGTACTGGTGGACTAACATAAATTTGTGCACCAGGAACTAGGAAAGTTTTTGCATAGCAGAAGATGAGTTATGATAAAACAATCAAGGAGTGGACTTTCCATCTTGAAAACTGGGTCTGGTCTTGTAATGATTGCAAGCAACACAGAGCAAGTTTGCTCGGGTTGAACTGTTCCTCTCTAGTATGGTACTTTAATAAGTCAGTATCCTAAAATACAAGATCCAACATTTACAGGTCATGTATAAATCCATTTAGCATATAGACAAGCTGCAATATCCATTAAATTACTCATGCTCAGGTATGATCAGGAATTTCAGATCAAGTATGATGTATCAGAGAAATATTAGAGTACTGTTCAGGAGTACTTTAGCTCAGCTGAAGAGACAAAGGAGGATTTTCTAATATTTAACTGGCTATGTTCAATGAACCAGGTGACGAAATACCTGAAGAGGTGTGAGAGAGCTCTTGTAGTTATCTAGAGTGCTGATGATGACCTGTGGCATGGTATGGGTGAGTCGAAAGACTGCTAAATGAAAGGACTTAGTGACACTTTGCTTTCCGAAACCCCATTATAAAATTAGTGTTTATGTATGAACTAGGAAATTCACTGATCGTAGGATCACTGGCTGAAATGATGAAGTATTCTTTGCTTTTTGAGCTAACATGTGGTATTTCAGGCTATAATATATATACCTTAAAATGAGTGACTGCTGCCCAGTTAGAATGGACATTTCGTCATTCCACCCATCACCCCTTGCTTTTTCAGACTCTGAGCATGATGTAAGATACCACATATGTATAATTACCACTCATGTATAAGCTAGAACAGCTGGAGGTAGTAGATTTAATACTTAATTCACCAACAGTCTGCACAACTGAAGTTGATAATCAGAGGTTTGAACACTCAGTTGAAAGGAAGTGGTATTTGCTTTTCGAGCTATTCGATGAAATAGTAAAGTACAATGTATTCATTACATTGTACAGTTAATAGTCAATTATTCCAAGCTAGAATAATTGTTGGTTGAGAAATGGATGACTGAAAGGGTGTTGCATTCCCTTGTTTTCCAAGTGCCCAAGTAATTTTCGCCATCCTTATCAGAAAAGTAGCAGTTCACCCACACCTGCAATGGATTTTCTCGAGGAAAGGACTTATCCATACACTTAACTGTTTATGACTCCTCCGTGTACAGGGAGGGGGCTGTGTTCTACCGGGAAGCAGAAACTGAATAGGCTGACTTTTCAGTAGAATAGATATTATTTTGCTGGGGTTGCCTATGTTTATTTTCCTATGAAGCAACACATCATGTGTGGTTAGACTTGTGTTAAGGTGATACAGTAGCATTACAGTCTGTGGTTGACAAAAATTCCAAACAGTGAATGTCCATTTAGCGAAGCTCATTGTATTTAGCTATAATTGGAAAGGGAGTGTATTGATATATGAGGTAGAGGCAGAGTGAATAATTTTTTTTCTGTCAAGATAAGCTAAGTTCTGCCAGAAAGTATGTATTTTATGAGGCCTGTAATACACTATTTAATTACATGACGCACAAGTACTGCCACGTAACCAGTGTAAATTACTATAAAAATGGTGAACATACTTGAGGAAATTTGTCAAAAGGTACTTGTGTGTGTAAAAATGTGTAGATGCTGTAGACGTACGTGTATGTAAATATATGTATTTGATTGTGTAGAGTTTCATACACGTATATTACACATATATGTATATACATAGAGTCATTCATAAGGAACCAATCAGAGTGACAGAGTGAGAATGCTTGAGTTTGATCTCAATGTTGGAGACAGTTATGAAGTTAACTCTGGGCACTAATCTGTAAGGCATTATTTGAAGAAACAGTGAGCCGTTGTTTTCATTTATGCTTTGAAACATTCAGTAAGTATTGGATTTTGTGGAAATGGATATAAGTAATGAATGGTTTATTCCACACTTGCAGGAAAACTTAAACTTTTCCATCTCCGGCATTCCAGATTACAATGGAGAAAATGTGCAACATCACATTTTCAAAAATTATTTGTGATGTATCTCTAAAAAGTTTTTCCGGGATAAAATTATAATTGAAATGTTGAGATTTCAGTTACTGCGCATCAAATGCAAGACATGTCTGTAAAGTCTGCAGTCTACTGTAAATAACCATGGATGTCGAAAGTTCTGAAATGCCCATCTTCTAAAGGAAATATGTGGAGTTTTGTGAGTTAATTGAGATCACATTTGGCAGAATAGATACACTTTCCAGGCTGATGATTAACTACACCTCTTTAAGACAGTGATCATTAAGACTCCCTTTGAAACTGCTTGTTCAACACTTACATATTCCAATAGTTTTAAATCATATTTTAAACACTATATGACTAATTCTCTCTCATTGCTGAGTATTTTGTTTCATAAACTGTGATAAGATATATCAAATCACTCCTAATGTATTTATCATAATGCATCTATATACAATGAAATAACATTACTAAATGTGAAACAATCTCAATTAAACGTTATGTTATCTTGAAGTAAACGACAGTTGTTATGTACAGGTATTTCATCTGAAACTTTACAGTAACAAAGATACAGTTTGGGGCTTCATGTGTATGTGTTTAACTAGTATTTAGGTGGAATCGCCGAAACCTTTTAACGTACATTTCTGATGCAATCATAAAACAAACGTTCGGGAAACTCACTTACCAACATCTTACACATACATGATTAACAGCAAGTTGCATATACAAGTAGCTATACTATACAAGTATACAAAATTAACAGGTTTTCAACTTCTGTTTTGATTATATGTGTTTATATTTTTCGCAGTTTATTTCTTTTTCAATCAGTAAAAAATATACAACCAAAAATATATTATCTTGTTATATATAAGTAATATATCAAATATGTTTCAAAACAGCAGAATGAATGTAATTACCAGGAACGTGAACCCCTTTTATATTTTCTGTATTATTTTAAAACGAAGAAAGATATCAACATTCGTTTTTAGACGTCATTAGTCGGGAAGTGACACGACAGCTTCCATGGCTTTATTAGACATTTAAAGTTGGAGTTGAAAAGTTTTAAAAAATTATGCAAATTAAATCGGGAAGGCAACTAAATTGCACAGATATTTAATAACGATAAACCCGCAGCAAGATTGACACTCAACTTTAGATAAATAAACAATAAATGATAAATAAATTGAATTTACTGTAAGGCCACTTCTGCAAGCAGACGAGTTACACATGTGAAAAGCATCACTATACAAAAATGTAGTTATTTTCAGCAGACGACTGACATTCACGTCAGACATTACAGGTGGTTGTTACGCCACGTACATGAAATGTATAGCAGGATTCCACGATTACTAATCCATCATCACACACAACATGTGCGACTAACTTTGTTAAAAGTGAGTGTAGGAGAGGGGGGTGAGTGTAAGATAGAACTCGCCAGCAAAACAAAAATATTCAACACGAGGTGGCACGTGCCCCTACTGCCCTTTATGAAACACAATTTTATTTACTTTAAAGCAAAATTTGTTGAGATCCCCTTAACATCACTATTTTTTTTTTGTATTATACTCTACCAATTACTGGATCAGTCAAATAGGCGTAGGCCTACACTTTTAGTTAAATGAAAAGTGTCGTGTACGTTATTGTGTTAGCTTAAACAAAATGCTTTCAAGCCGTCAAGCTTTTATGACAACAGAAATGTCATAAACATTGATTGACTTCACAGTTACGGTGCGCCACAGCTCAGCTAAAAGTATACGTCATATATTGAAATACTATTTCCACTTATCGTTTCAAACTAGCTTACAGTACAAGTAGGAGGATGCCTTTATAGTCTGAAACAAAACTGTTTTCTATCATATACAACAGGAATTTATTTAATTATCATATTACTAGTTTCTGGATAAACTGCGATCCTAACAGATCATTCACATTGCCTTAATATATCACTGTATCAACCTCGCATCAATAAAACATCGATACATATATTTGTATATGACTGTCTGGGTGCTATTACTGACTCACATATCTTTTAATGTAAAAAGATAAATTTTATTTACATATATTGTCAAGAACAATTAACCAAAGTTGTTAAGAACTGAGCTCACTATATACAGTCTCCCGATAGCGCAGCGGTAAGTCTTCAGTCTTATAATGCTAAAATTCGGGTTTCGATGCTTGCTATGGGCAGAGCACAGATAGCCCATTTTATAGCTTTGTGCTTAGCAATAAATAGAAAAACAATACATTCAAAATAAGATCACAGTTAGAAAAAATGACGTTTTTCTAATCTTTCCCATCCATTTGTAAATTATTCTTTCTCTTTTACTATTCTATTATCCAGGGAAGACTGACTTGAGGAGAAATGTTCACACTCAAATAACCCATAATTAACCCTAAAATTATCATAATATGTTTGCTTCCTTGTCGGAATTGCGTACTCATTAAATAAGCTATTTCTGTTTTATACTTTTAATGTTACATAACATTAAAAGGACATTAACCTAAATTAATTGAAAAGTGATTTAAATCTGATTCTAAAAGTTGTATTAAGTCCAGGTTATGTTTGATTCCTTACAATAGTTAGTTCAAAAACAAGAGGTAAAAAATTACAAATTTATTTTACAAGTTCTGCAATTCTAAAATAAGTAAAACAAGTTTATTCTTATCAAAATTTCAAGTTTTAAATGATTGAGAATTTTAGAAGAAACATGGATTCCTGTTCTGCTTATTGCTAAATATGAAGGAAAAGTATCAAAAAGGCCATTCAGAACAGACCAAAGGTGTCCTTATATTTCAAATAAGTAGAACAATTAATTAAAAACAACTGATGATTATGCCTCTCCACTGTGAAAGTTATCCTTTGACCTCTAATTAACATTATAGTTTTAAGTAAAATTATATTAAATATTTGAACTATAAGTTCAGTTTACTCTATAATAGGCTCCACGAGGACAAGAGAAAAAGCATGCATGTTTTCGCTTACCTTTCCATAGAAGTGAACTTATCTGAATCATTATAAATTTTAGTTATCTGGGAATAAATCAGTGTTGCCTATATTCTAGAAGCTCAAGTAGAATCTTGACTATGCACTACCCAATCAGCACTTGCCAGGACTTGTGTTCATCGATACGTAAAAATTATTTTCAATTACTGGCGTTATTTAAACTTCCAAGATGTTTTCACATTTGTTATATGAAATTAACAAACGATACCGTCTAAGAATCTGGTATAAACTGTTTGTTTGTAATTATATTACGGAGTAATAGTTGTCCTGTCAGGAATATATTTTCACAAGTTCACTATATTAATTAACACGCAGCGCGTGTACAGTGGCATCTTAGTATTCCGCGTTTTGTTCAACTGACGAAAGATGTTTCAGAATATATATATGCTGTACTGCTTCTCTTCTCACCATATTGTACTGTACTTTCCCTAGTTCTGTACTGTCATAGCCAGATGGGGTCACTTGTAGAGCTTCTTTCTTACCAGTAAATTCCTAAATGGATCTATACAGTCCGATCAATACCTGATACTTAATCTTTCTATGCCGCGCAACTCTAGTTTATATTCTGGCAAATATCTAGTTGTTTTTTACAACAGGCGTAAAATAGAGGACATCTACTTCGTGTGGGCGTTTCGATCATAAGAAACAAATGCATGAAAAACGAATAAAATCTTAAAGCAATTTGATGCACGCATACTTTGTTTGGAATTTTATCGATTTTTCTCACATCCAGTTACGTATAAAAATGCATCTCGCTTGTGGTTTAAGATCGTAAAATCTCACATTCATAGTCATTTATGTTTGATTCTTATAATGTGGATTATAACGTGCTTGGTTGATCATGGAATATTTAACATAGTCACTTTAATGAGGGCCATATAAACTTTAAAATACGTCTATGTTATACATATATATAAAAATGTATTATATATTTTTATTTATGTAAGAATTGCTGATGAATTATTTAACCGTATATTGAATTGTACACTATTGAATTGCAGGTGTAGTAAAATAAACCAAAAATCAACTTCAAGAGTCAAACTTACTGCGGAAGCTAATATTAATCAAATGAAGCCAATGTATTAATGAATTGTGCATACTTGGGTTTTTAATAGTTTTGTCGTATTATAATTGTAGAATGTACATCTCTATCATAATTTAAATTAAAGTTTTTAATTTTCTGATTTATACATTATTATATGTTTGTGATAGATGAATTAAGTTACAGGTGATTTGAAGTAAATGTGTCCTTATTAGTGGATGATTAATTACTGTTTTTTATCAGTCCATAATCATGACCTATTTAGACTTATTTTTCGGTCAAAGCTTTGTACATTCATTTCTATCTCGACTATTAATAAATATTTTGTATTCAAGTGTTGAGCTCTTTGAATAAAACTATTGTAAATAAAGCAATATTTTTGTGCTTATAGATTTAAAAACGCATTATGTATTCATACTCCAAGGTACATTCGGAGATGATGCATCCTATGGGAGATGTAGATTGATATAGTAAAGAAATCTATATGCAATAATATAAGGTACAGACGAAGATAAAATATTGCATTGGAGTATTAGGTTAAAGTACTCATTAACTCTAACATACAGCCTGAGAAAATAGATTGTTCTAACGTGTTCTGTCATTTAAATTATTTGGTGAAAATAATGCAAAGTCCAGTCCATATGTCAATAACGAATTCGTGTATTTCTTCTATAGCATTTATTACAGCTGCGTTCATTTGTAGACCTAATTTGACAATCTATATTTGAACAGAAATTTCGAGACTAATGGTAGGCCTCACTTCAAATACAACGTTTCACTGTAAACTGCGAAATGTACGCCTTACTTAATTAGCTTTGATAAATGAAAACACGTAACTCACCAAGTATCTGAATAACAGAATGTACACAATAACTCTCAATATAAACACTAAACTGAATCATTCACTAAAGAGTATACAGCATTCTCAATTATCTTCACACACTTTTTTATTCATATTTATAATATATTCTCGTTTCTCTAAATTTCACGAAATTTCTAGATCATACACTTTCTAGGTATCCTAGAACTACTTTTATGAAATTTCTAGATCTAGCGTCATCATTCTGATTAGCAGCTTCCTCTAGCAAACAACTAACTTATAACATTAAAAATATAATTTACAATAGTACCCTTTTCCTGAATTGTGACGTCTCTTGGACAATCCTAATACATAAATAAAACATTACACCAAACTGTTCATTCACCACGTTTTATTTGTGATTCTCTCTTCTGAGATTCATGATGTACAGATGGTCTTATATCTTGTTTCTTATAGTCACTGGTGGGAAGATCTTCCAAGTAGGTGGTCAAGTGAATCCACTGGTGGCTCTATCGTTAGTGATCCATGTTGACTTTCTGCTCGAAAATTCTTCTCTGTAGTTACCCATATGGCCATTTGCTCAGCAAGGTATTCTCAAAGATGATCACATTGGATCATCTATGGCTTGGAACACCTGTCTTTCCAAATTTTCTAAACTCCATCATTGATTTTTTTTTTTCAGTTCAACATATGGCTCTTCCCAACACTTGCTTAATTTTGGAGTTCATCTTTTTCGTGGTGGGGATGTACAGTCATACAATGTCACCTTGATGGAATCCAATCTTATCACAATTAACATCCTGGCGACTTTTCCTTTTGTCATTAGCTGACTTAAGTCTTGCCTGAATAATGTCATATAAGACATCTTTATTCTTCAGATCCATGGGAGCTTTTGGAGCCACAAACACTTCTAGATATACTGGAATGTTTGGTTCCACTAAGTCCCAGTCACTTGATCTAGATAATTTGAACACATGTTGATATGAGTATTTCACTTCTTGATGATATAATAACCATCTTTCCTGATGTCATCAGAAATTTAACCTCTAATGTAGTATATACAGATCTCCTGATCATAGACCATGTGGATCTTTGAAGCTAGCTTAACCTCGTATCCATGTCTCTGCATGAAGTCAGTTCCCAGTATTCACTATTCCTTGATGTCAATTACCTACACATCAGGAGGTGTAGAGAAACTTGTTAGAGTAAGGGTAATTTTCAACGTTTTTTTTGCTGGAATTTTATGTCAAGCCGTTGTAGTACTAAACCATCTTCTTTCTTCATCTCTGGAGGCAATTTTTTTATTTTCATTCCCAAATCTGGTAAAACAGTTGTAGCTATAGAATCAGTGTCAATCAACATACTACAAGATTTTCCACCAATAAGCACATAATGAGCTTCTTATCTCATTTGAAGTAGATTGTGTATTTCCAGTTGAACTTCGCCTCATAAATTCAGCTAGTTTCTGTATCTGATTAGTTCTATGTTACTCCTTTGATACGGATTTTTCCACAGTCTCGGATGTAACGGCCAGATTTTCTATATCTATAACAGTTCCATCTTTCTAGTATCCACTAGTAGGAGTTCATATTTCACACAAGCTTGAAACTACTCTTTCTCGCAATATGTCTTTCCAAGTTACACTTGAAACACCCATTTTCTTGTGGTCTATTTCCTCCATTTTGTGTAAGCAACTGTCAAATTAATTCTTTCAGTTCTTCTAGACTATCATCGGGGTAATTGATATTTCAATACTACGAGATCTGATGTTTTATTCTGTCACTGGTGTTTTTTTGTCTCAATGACGATCTTTTCTACCTCCTTGATGTTTTCAATATTTTTTTTCAATGTTGTTGTTACAGCCTTTCTGTGCTTCTTCTGTCTTGTTGTTGTAAACTCTATGTACATTTTCATTAATCTTGTCTTCAGTCATATTTATTTTTGTTCTTAACTTTTCTTTAAATATTTCACCCATTTATTTTATCTCCTCTATTAAATCCTGAGTCATTGTTAAATTTTAGTCTCCTTCTTCTTGGTCTTATTGTAGTTTTCTATCTCATTTCTTTAATTTTTGGTTTTTTTTCTTGATCTTCTTTTGATTTTCTGTCTTATTCTTCTAATATTTTCTCTCTTCCTTCCTATTTTTCTGTCTCTTTTTTTTTATTGAACCCTTTTAAATCGTTTCATCGTCTCACTTCTGGATCCGGTTGTTATGCTGAAATTGAATCAAGTCATATTTTATTCTTGGGGTTTTGAGTTCATTTTACACCACCATATAGTAACCTAAATTACCTTAGGTGTATGAATAATGTTATGACATTTCGTCGAATTCATTATTTGATACTGTGCCATCTTTTTAATGATTATAAATTTATATATATAATTAGGGCAGAGGTTGGGAGTTCTGTAGAAATTTAGGGTGGCTTATTTCTACTATAAGAATATTATTATTATTTTTATAACATCAGTTAAGAGGGTGGAGGTTGGGAGTTTTACTTTCTAGATTTTTTTTTCGGATTGATCTACTTCTACATTAAAAATATTAAGGGTAAATGTCTTCCCACAACTGGCTGCAGACAGTGAAAGACAGTTGGAGTTGAGACTTAGTGGGTTCAAACACTCAACTCCTTAGTTGGTGGCGAGTCTTATATCGGCGTTCGGATTTTGCCTGATAGATGGAATATCCCCAAAGCATTTGGGTGCTATGACCATAGGCATTTCCATTATGACTTAAGGATGACAACAAGGAATGATAACGAAGGAGTAATTTTGAATTTCAAATTTATTACATTATTTTTGGTTTATACTAAGTTCTTTATTGTTTTATAGTACTGATTTTAATCGCCTATGGACAATTAATGTATTGCATAGCATCAGTTATACATATATTAGGTCGTCAATAAATTAATGTCGCGTTTGGGAACACTTTCATTAACACCCAAAAAAAACGTACATCACTTATAATAGTTACACGAACTGCCTAAACGTCACGTAAGTGTAGGCTATATAATGTGTAAAGTTTAGCATATTCTAATCCCTTATAGTGATGGCACACGACGAGACACACATTCGGCACGTAATGCTGTTTGAATACAAGAATGGAAACAACGCCTCTGTAACCACAAAGAATATCACAGAACTTTTTTGGAAATGTTTTGAACGTTCGTAAGTGTCAACGATGGTTCAGCAAATTTCCTTCAGGTTACTTTAGCCTTAAAAACT